CTTTTGTATTAGTTGAAGCTTCTATATATTGAGGATTCAGTCATGTAGAGCACTCTGCAGTAGTCTCATTGTGATGTAACCCATTGTCATCACACTATCTCTGTAGACCAGATTTTACAAATAACAGATTTTCAGGCAACATATTTTCTTCTTACTGCTTTTCAACGACTCCAGTGACTTTTCTACACTATTCTTCTCCTGCTTTGCCATTTAGATTACAGCTCTCCCACTTCCCTTTCCTTTTGTTACATGCTTGCCAAGATTCATTATTTGGTGTGCATCAGCTAATTTAAGTTAACTAATTTAAACATTGTGCATTTGATAAAGGCAAAAAAGGTGCTTCAGAGTGTGCAGGGGAATGCCTGCAGCAACTGTCTGTAACTCCTTAAACCAAAATGTGCATTTTCCTAGGATTGTGCTGCAAACATGGAAGGCAACTGTGGAATTTTAGGAAAAGATGCAACTGCTGTGTATTCTAGAGCACATTTTTGTCTTTGAATCCAAACCATTGCCCAGCCCTAGTGCCTCCATTGAAAGAGTTCCTTTGGTTATCAGATGCTTCCTGGGCAGAATGGAAGGTGATACAAAGAGGTGACACAACTGTGATGGAATGGACTTAGGAAGGCCAGGCTCAGGGAGATAAGTGTGTTCTTAGCCCCCAGCAGGAGTGTGGGAAGTTCAAGAAGATGAGGCTGGCACCTCCCTAAGGAATTCACGGTGTTGTGGCTGGCTGGCTTTGGAACTCGGGTTGAGTCTGGGGAGATTTTCTGTCTGGAGGTTGTAGCTAATAAACGCAACAGAACTGTATGTGCATTGTCTCTTGGAGTTCTTTGGGCTGAACCTGACATCAATCTGCCAGCCTCATCTTCTTGAACTTCCCATGCTCCTGCTGGGGGCTAAGAACACGCTTATCTCCCTGAGCCTGGCCTTCATAAGTCCATTCCATCACGACAACACAGCAAGAAGGCCTGAGTCGACATTAAATGTCTGTATACATGTCGTCTGGTAAAGAGAGCCAGAGCTCAGCTGGGCACCAGCACTATTCTCCTGCTCCATTCTGATATTTTCACATGGAGGCTAGGTTCATTCACTGAGCTTAGCCATAGATAATTGAATAATCCACAATTCCCATTCACTCAATCCATTAAACGAACCTTTGTTCACATGTTACAATGGCTAGGGATATGCAATGCACTAAGCCAAAGCTAAACAATATTATGACAGTGTATTGTATGAGTCTGGCTTAGATGTCTGTTGCTGAACTCAGTGTAGTTGCATTAAAGTACTTTGAAAATATCTGAATCCAACTAGCTCCACCTATGCTATAGATTCTTCAGGTGACATCAGGACAATAATCAGAGACATCTGTATAAAGCAGCATTCCTCAACCTTGACAACTTTAATTTCCCCATGCTGGCTGGGGAATTCTGGGAGTTGAAGTCCACACATCTTAAAGTTGCCAAGGTTGAGAAACACTGGTATAAAGAACCATTCATGTGTAGATCTAAGCATATAATTGAGTTAGAGATGCCTAAAGCTGCAGAGAAATAGGTTTTACTGAAATCTGCACACAAGGCTTCATTGTGTCCCACGTGATCATATAATAATGCATTTTTAAAACTTCCTAAAATGGCAGGGTTTCCATTTTTAGCTATCAAAACATTGTTCCTGAGAATTTATTTCCTAGTTAATTATGTAGCATGTTTTAAAAACCAAAACGGGTATGAGTTGGAGAGGTGCACCCAACGAAACCCGTGGCTGTGATTTTACACTGGGTGTGCTAATGAGACACTTAACTCCTAGGCCTCTTTTCCTGGCTTTGATCCTAAACAAACGGTAACTTCTTGGCAGTCACCCAACTGCATTTCTAATTCATTCACAATCAGGTTTTCATTTTATTCCTTTATCCAGCTCATCACTTTTCATTTTGTGCTAATGCACTAGAGGTGAAAAGCCCACAAATGGCAGCAGGCTCTCCAAAACTGTTAAGTGTGACCAGGAAGAATTTCATGTCCAGAAATGTTTAATGGAAACATTTTTTGCTAGATGGAGGAAAGTGCTTCCATATTAGAGAGTCATAATTATTTTATTATTCCGAACATATTGCACCTTTTAGTGTAATTCCATGTAATTTTCCTTACATAGGGAACAATGAAAAACTAGCATATTAGAAGACAGTTATTCTAGAATTTAAGAACTGTTCCACTTACACTAATATTAGTTAGTTACTAAAGCTCCACAAAAGGGCTGGGCTTTGGACTCAGAATGGTTTAGAAAATCACAGGAGCCCCAAATCTAATCTGTTTTCCATTAAGGTCTCTTTTCAGTAAGACTGAACATATTTTTGCAGCCATTATATAAATTGACCTATAGTATGAGACCATTACAATACATTAAAATGTAAGCTTAGAGCAGCAAGTAGGAGTTGCAATCTTCATAGTTCGAACAATACTGATGAAATTTTGAAGCTACAGAGAGTTGCTCTTGAAACAATGGGAGAAAAGTGAGAAAGTCTAAAATATGCAAGATCATCTCCCATCACTTCTCTGCAACATCCATACCTGGAAAAATAAGAATTCTTACCCTGCTTATGCAGATGGTAACCACTTGACCCTCACTGAAAAGGAAAATAAGGAAAGGATGCTACGATAAATGAATACCCTGCTGTCACTCAGGAAGTTGGGTTTTCAGGCTAATACATTAAGAATTAAGGCTGACTGGATTGTTTCAATATACACTATTTACTTCATCTTTGGTAACCATGAATAGTGAGCACATGAAGATGCATGTAGATGTATGCACAGCTAGCTCAACCCCCATAATGGTGTATATATGCCTTTCCCAATCACCAGCCAACAGGAGACTGGCATATATGGCAGTCTGAACTGGCATGCCTTCAAAGAGCTTTGGGTTTCTAAGATACAGATAAGAATCTGAACCAACCACAATTCTGATTCCTTTACATATGTTGAAGGCAGCTCAAGACTGAAGTGAACCTTAATCAACTAGGGAGACAACCTACCTACACTGATTACCTAGGGTGGTTTTGGTAGATTCGTATTACTTGAAAGGGATTTGACTTCTAAGTATCCTGTCTATTTAGGGCTTTAGGTTTCCAAGGTCAATATTAAAGTAGCCATTCAAAACAGTTTCCAGGAAATTCTAAGTGGATCCTGTTGTTGGAGCTATGGAAAAATACTGACTTGGGAGGGATCATGATGAACCAAATGTGTTTCTATACTTAATGAACCAAATGTGTTTCTGTTAGCCCAACAAAAGGCAAACAATGAATCCTAGCTCTATCTTTATTGTAAAGTTACATTAACAGAAACTTACAAGACTGAAAGTATTTCTCCCTTCCTCTCCTTTTACTATCTGAAAACTGGGGAGGGTCCCTTCTGAAATGCTTCCCATGCCCCCTCTCCTTCTGAGGACTGAGATATCTTTTACATGTCAGTTGTTCAGTCTGTGGCTCTTCCTCCTGTCTTTCAAGGTCATTCCCACATACCACTGCAGTCTCTTAAAGGACCTTTCCTGAATACTGCCATGGGGGTTGGGGTGGGGGAGAGATGGTCTATGGAGTTTACAAGGGGAATGGCGGCTGAGGACTCATCTTTGATAGACATCTTCAAGGCAAGGGAGTACTTAAGAAAATAGTAAAGTTCTTCCCTGGAAAAAAATAACTAAGTAGCCTAAACTGGCATATAAGTCTAACTCAAAGCATCGTGGGTTATGGGGGAGAGAGAGAGACAGACAGACAGACAGACAGACACATTCACATTTATGTATATGTATAAAAAATCAGCCAAATCAATTCCACTGGAGGATGAAGACCTCTTCACTGAAACTTATATAGGATAATCTCCCACACTGATCCAGTGCAGGTTGATAGACAGATGTTTCTTTGCTCCCCAGTCTAGAGCTGAGAGAGAGTACATGGCTCAAAGCCAGCTTCTGTGCCTAACAAACAGTTAGAACCTGGGTTTCCTTGTTCCTAGTCCAGCACTACAACCATTATATCAAACTTGCTCTCAACAGTAATTATTAATTTGCTGGTTTTGGTAATGATGACAGGGGTGGAAATACCCTGAAAGAAAGTAATAGCAAACCACTTGTGTATTTTTGCCAAAAGAACTAAGCAGATGTGTCTCTACTATAATGAGAAGTTGAACACAATGCAAATGTGTCTTTAAGGTAATGGAAGCTGAATTCAGTTTTCAAGTCATGTATGTATGTATACGTGTTTGTGTGCGTGTGTGTGTGTGTGTGTGTCTGTGTGTATAAAAGTAGAACCATTACTTTTGATTCTAAATTTGTTCCAATTTGTTTTACAAAAGGGCATTCCTGAATAAATGGCATTGTTTTTACTTTAGATTCTGAAAACGTAGCCTTTATTCTACATATTATTTTTTTTCTTAAATCTTTCTTCTAAGATATATGTACATTTAGATGCACGTGCACAGACTTCCAGTTGTTTGATTGTTAAAGAAAAGAACACAGGCTTTGTGGAATAAAAGTATTTCTAAATAAACTAATTTTTATGTGTTTTCACACCGCCTGACTCACTTCCACTTAAAAAATAAATTGTGGCAGATATTTCTTAAGTATTCGTTTAATATCGTTTTTCTATCTGTAGTGAAATAAAGTAATCTTTAAAAAACATCTGCTCATAAAAAAGCTGTTGGGCACATTATATGTAATATTTTTTGGTAAATACATAGAAGAGAAAGTGACAATAGGCCAGAAAGATGCTTGAGGAAAAATGTATCCCGACAACTCAGTAAAGGTAGATATTGACCACAACTTGTCATTGAAGCTAAAATCAGTGGTGAGACTAATTGGTAAGCTTGGGATGTGCTCCACAAACTTGCAACAGTGGTGTCTTCCTGACAACTTTAGTGTTCAAAATTGGGCCTGAGCCCTCAGCAGAAAGATAATGCTTCTGATATACTGTAGATAGATAGCGTAGTGTAAATGCTCGAATACATTTCCATACTTACTGTATGAGCATCCGAAAGCTTCAACCCGCAGACCAATATTTCCATTTGGATTCCACGTCAGGGGCACAAACCGCGTAAAGCGAGCTTTAACAGAGTGCAGAAATTTGTGCTGTACCACACCGTCGGCATTGACATTCCCCTGGAAGACCTGCAAAGAACAAGAAGCCTGGATATAATGTGGTGCTTTTTTCCTGTTCTTTTCTTTTTTGCAAATAGAGTCCATATGGGGATTCATTACATCGCAGCAGATTCAGTTCATGCCAAAATAGTAGCCGATAGATCTGTAACGCAGGATGCAGTTATAGTTTCTCTGACAGGTACCTGTCCAGCCTCTACTTACATGCCTTTAGGATTCAGCCTCTTCCAAGGCAGTTTGTTCCAACGATCAAACAGCTCATAATCCAAGGAAATGTCTTTTTATGCTTAGCTAAAATCTGCTTCCCTGTCATTTCTATTCCTCAGGGTTAGTCTTGCTCTCTGAAGCAACAGAGAATAGAGATTTGGAAATCACGATCATATCTATTCTTAAGCTTTTATTCTCCAAGCTAAAAAGCCTCAGCTTCTTCAGCTGTTCCTTCTAGGACATGGTTTTGAAACTCCAGTTTCGCAATGTCCTTCTTGAGATAGACATAGAGATAAACATAGACATTGATTTATGTATTTATAGAATCCAAGATTAATATGAAGATAGATCAATGCAAAATAGCTTTCTCTCAATCTGGACACTATACTTGTGCAACCATAGCCCAAAACTATACTAGCTTTTTAAATACCACAATGCATAGTACTAGTACACAGGTGACCAAAGGTGGTGTGCAGATCCCTAAAGCCTAGATACAATCTTCAGAGGTCCTTCTAAAGTTGTTGCTAAAATGTAGTTTTTAATATTATTGAAGGAGAAAACATTAAATAGATGGGTACTGATCAAACTCATTGCATTTAAATTCAATGTAGGATTTGCTTTGGTGCTACCCACATATTTCCTAGGACTTGCCTACTTGGATTATAGTCTCCAGCTTGGCAGGTGAAAGGCCAAATATAAACCTTGACCAGAAAATACTGTGTGTTCCAGCTCTAGTATCCTCTCTTGGAATCATACCAGAATTTCTTTTAGCCAAATGTATTCTTTTACTGGACCAAGACCATCCCTTCCTATTAGTGTAATCTGCTTTATATAAATAAACTTAAATAAAATTGTTTATTGTTATGAAATGATATCATGATAAAAAAATACTTGAGATCTCAGCTGTCTCTTTAAAACAAAGCGTATAAATACAGGATTGTGTTGATCCGACTAAAATCTATCAGGCTATTCATTTTTAGCATGGTCACCTTTGCTAAACCTTTACCCTTTTTTTCCACTTTTTTTTCCATTTTTTTTTCCACCTTTGCTAAGCCTTCACCTTTCAGTTCAGAACTTAACTCCAACCATTAAAAGAGACTATATTGTTGTTATACAAAACAACAAGAATTTCTTTCTTGTGTTGATCTTTTGTGAAGCTGCTGTTATTTATATCACCTGGGAACTAGAGTGGAAAAAAGGTAAACGGGGGACAAAGATTAATATTTTAAGCATCAACCTTTGACTTAAAGCTATAAAAAGCAAACAGAAAAAATGTAAGTTGACACTGACACTGAGGGATGGGGAAAAGCAAAAGGCTCCTTTAGAAAAGACAGTCTCTTCCACAAGGCATAATAAATTAAATGGCTCAGGCTGATGTGCAACTTTCAATCTCACTTGATAGAACAAGCCTCAGGATAGTAAGCCCCAGCATATTTAGAGCTCTATGTAAGCTGGCTACCATAATGACTATGGTGATTATCTTCTCTCCCACTTTATTAGGCAGGTAATGCGGTAAAGGTTTGAACTCTACATGGAAGCAGCATTGGCACACAAACTTGAAGGATGAGATGATGGGCTAGAGGTTAAATACTTTCCAAGGGAGTTTTTTTTTTTTTTTTTTTTGAGAGATAGCCAAGGGGTTCTTATCTGCCAAAACTATACAAGTTGCTGAAACAAAAGAAAAATTAAAAAAAATAAATAGAGAAGTTGGGAGGTTGCATCACAGAAGTGTTCAATTTGCACTATTGCATTCCCAAACTAAGAAGGGCCAAATGTGAGTCTCTACCCACCACTGCTTACTCCATAACTGCTAACTGATCCTGAAATCCAATGCTAAACTGCACACTTGAAAAGATTTCAAGGGGATTCGGTGCATATGCAACACTTATGACTTTTGGGAAAACAAATTGTCATTATGCCTCCTTGAAAAGGTGACTCTGAGAACCAGGTCCATCAAACTTTTTTGATGCCAAACTTTGTTACAACAAGTCTTGAACAGTTCTAAAAAGGTTCAGATCTTAGGATAAATCTTAAGGATGGACATACATTATATTACTGTATATGGTTAAAGAATACATGATAGAAGCGGCAGAGAGAGATTGATATATTTTTTAACAATTCTTAATGGGACTTTATATATCTCTTTGGATTCCAATCAAGAGAAGGCATCTTCCAGAAGTTTTGACTACAATGTCACAGTCCCTTTGTCATTAGCCATTCTTGCAAGGGGTTGATAGCAAGGGAAGTCCAAAACATCCAGAGGACATTTGGGTGACTATCCTGATTTTGATACTTTGGACCCAACTGATTTAATATGGAACGATTCATAAAATTTGGTCTAGAAATTCAACATTAGCAAAGGTTAGGCTGACCACAAGCAGACAGAAATAGATGGCTGAATTTTTAATATATGTTTAAATATTACTTGTGTGGCATACAACACCAGTTTTTACATATATACTGTATATTTGTATTGATAGGATCTGGACATCACTCATAAAAGCATTTGTGTGTATATATATTTGTGTGTGTGTTCATGAGTGTGTGTGTGTAGAGGTGGGGGAAAGGGAAAAAAACCATAGAAGTATTCCACATGTTTCTTTTTCTCTTCTCTCTTGGTTTAGGAAACTGTATTTTATGGAGGTGGAATGTCTTTTTGACAAGAATGTTCTGTGACATTTTGAATATATTATTATACCACCAGGAGAAAATATTTGTCAAATTACCCAGTCTATGCCAACTGGAAAGATGAGAATGCTTTCACCTCCTATCTCAATTCTGTGAAAATATAGAAAAGTAATGCCAAGTTGGAAGCAACCAATCAAAGTGATCACTGAAGAGAAGCTAAATCTGGGGTACTATTTTTGAAACTTGCTTTTATTCATTGTTAGGAAAATGAGCAAGAGGTATTCAACTTTGGTATTAGTTGAGTGGTTTTTCATTTTTCCTAACCTAAGGAACGGACTACTCCACACATATAAGCAGAGAAGGTGACCTAGTCTACTGGGGAACATAGTACATGATAACATACTGCCTTCCACATGAGTGCATTTTAATTGCAAGATTCATTCAAACAGAAATGCACCTACCAAGAGCAGCTAAATTGACTATCTTCTCTATTTAACATTTCAAATAAAATACAGCAAAAATATAACTAAGTACTTGCCTGTTGCAATATTTTAGGAATACCAAACTGTATAAGAGCTCCAGTATGCTACAGAAACCAAGCTTCAAGACCATATTCAAGCATGGGAGTTCATTAGATAGCTTTTTGTTATGCATTATCTGTCAATCCTGCCTACTTCACAGAGTGGTTATTGAAGTAAGAAAAATGAGGAGAGAGCTCTATATGCCTTGCCCTGAGCTCCTAGAAGAAAGCAGGGACATAATTCTAATAAATAAGTAAAATATATCAACTATCTGCAATGATTGGTCTCTTTTAAGATATGTTTCCTTGAAATTGGATTGCAGTGAACGTAGAGCTGGCTTCAAGTGGCCTTTATATTTCTTCAAACTTCTGCAGGGAGAATAGGCCAACAATTTCTCTAAGGTAGGATTTTCCCTTAGTAGTGACAGTAGTTACATTGCTAGAAAAGAAAAAAAAATAGAAGAAAAGAAAAGATCTTGAGGTCTTCCCTTAGGATTTAATTGGAGTATGAGAAACCAGGGAGGCTGCAGATGGCTGCAGAATAATTGTACAAAGAAAGGCAATTATACAAACCATCCTTGGCAATCTTGTAACTAAATATTACAAGAATCCCACTGTGCAAGATGACGATTCTGCCAATAAGAACTCCAATGAAATTTGACTTATTGTTTGAAATAAATTTCAGAAGCAAATTCCTTTTCATCAGACTGAATGAGAGGAGGTAGAAAAATGCACAATTTCTCTGGCCAGCATTACTTTCAAGTATCAATGATTATGAGTATGTGGCCTGATTGTAAGTCAAAAACTTGTTGTATTGTCCAGTGCTAACTTTCATTAATATTCCTACTTGGAGTTTGAAAACTAGAAGGATAAGTATTAAGTTAATAGATAGATGTCCATGTTTATTTTTTCCTTTGGCAGCAATGTCAATGCTATCATTGCTTAAAAAGTATTCTGTAATCTGATGTGCGCAGATACGCTAAGAATTCTAGGAGTTATAGACCCAACACATTTAGAAGGCAGGAAGGCTGGTTGATTTCACCCTACTCATTAGCTGAAGAAGCGATGATGAGAGGGCAAAAATTCATGCTGTGCATATCACTACTTGCTCCCAATGAGTGCAGACATCAAGCACCCCTTATCCATGCCTGGTGAACATTGAAGGGGTCATGAATTCAGATGACTATGGATGGAAGTTTTTCCAAACAATGAAGGATCCCCACTGGTCCAGCATTTCACCTTTCCCATCTATATGCACAAAGAGCCCTTCTTTGAACATCCACATAGCAGGTAGTGGGGCCAGCTTGCTGGATTGGACTCCATTATGTGACCTAATATATATAATTTTACAAAATAACATCTGCAAAGTATCTGATAACAGCTGTCTATCCCTCTCTTACAGCTTGTTGCTTACGACAGAAAGACAGCAAGACAGACAGATGAAGGGGAAGGGGAAGGGGAAG